CAAATCCTCTGCATAATATGGAAGCTTCATAAATACAATGCTAATTATTTGTTCTCGAGGCAGAGAATACAAGGGCAGTCGAGACATGTGTTCAGATGTGTAAACATGCTCATACATGTGTCTGTCTGTCTAAGGAGCTAGGTGACTATACAACACTGTGCAGATATAAAGGGACTCATGGCCTCTGAGTGGAGGAGTGTGTGTGTGTGGGGGTGTGCCTGGGAGCCTGGGTGTGTAAATATAAGATGCACAGATGTGAGGCACCAGGACAGGCTAAAGGTGGGTATAGGCACTTTGCGGAGGGAGGCTCCGATGAGCCCCCCCTTTTTCCTTTGAGACAAGGTCTCATATATTTTAGACTGGCTTCAGTCTTGCTATGAAGCTGAGGATGGCCTTAAATTCCTGACCCTCCTGCCTCTACTTCCCAAGTGCTGGGAATCGAACCTACGGCTTCATTCATGCGAAGCAAACACTCTATCCACCAAGCTAAATGCCCAGTCCTGACCTCTCTGACCTCCGGGAACCTCAGTGCCCAACCCATCTCTTGTTTCTAAACTGTTCAAACCCTTTTAAAAAGTGCCACCTTCCCATTCCTGTCTTCTCTACTCTGAATGAAGATGGGCCATTCTGGAAGCTTCTACGTGATATGGCTCTGTTAGGGTGGGTGAGAGTTCCCCGGGATGCTTGCTAACTACCAGGTCTTTTCGTGGCCAATTTTTGTACTGTCACAGTGCACCCTCTGCTCCCAACTACACCGCTCTCCCCCCACCCCCAAGGCAAGCAGGGCACACCCAGATCACCCATCCATAGGGAGGAAATTGGGACCAGGGAAGGGAATGGAGCCAGGCAAGGTCACAGGGTAGGGAAGGGGTGGAGTTGGGTTAGTGGCTTTGCCAGTCCACAGGGTGACTTCCAGCTCTTAACTGTAGGGGTGGGGCTCTTGGGCTGTGTCATCCAGAGCAACTGCCTTCCAATCCAGCCTAGGGCTGGGAAGCTGAGAAGAGGACAGAAAACTACCGGGAGACAGTAGTAGGAGTCGAAGGTTCTCCAAGTGCAGACTTGCCCAGCCAGCTGTGAGCCCACTTCTCTAGCTGGATACTCACGCTGGCTTTGTAGCAGGATGGGGATGTTAGACCAAGTCAACATTGTCATTTCACTAATAAAAACTGTGTATCACAGGGTAGAAGTTACTTTGTTGCTTCGTTTGTTTGTTTTTTCCTTGTAGAGTTACTGGGAAAGACTTAATTTAGGGTTTGGGATTCTTGTACAGGCAGTGAGAAGAGATTAACTCTTTTTTTTTTTTTTTTTGGTTTTTCAAGACAGGGTTTCTCTGTCTGTCTGTCCTGGAACTCACTCTGTAGCCCAGGCTGGCCTCAAACTGATAGAGATGCACCTGCCTCTGCCTCCCAAGTGCTGGGATTAAAGGCATGCGCAGCCGCCACCACCCAGTGAGATTAACTCTTAATATGAAATCTGGGCCTCACTCTTCCAACCTGTAACAAATAGTATTAATGGCTTTGCCCGGCCTGAGTGGAACTCTGAGAAAAGTAAAAGCGTATCTATCCAGAGGCGAGCTGCCCCACTCCCCATCTCCCCAGAGTCTAGCTATATAGTTTAGGTTTTGTTTCAAGTCAAGACTTTCCTGAATGCTGGAGACACAAGCTACCACACTGGCTTATTTTACTTTTATTCTGTGCAAGGCATTACCACCCCAAGCACTTTGGAAATGTTACTATTTGCTACCCCTGGCAACCCCAACAGGCCACTGAGGCACACAGAGAGCAAATAACTTGGGGAAGTCACCAGTCTGTGGTAGATCCAGAGACAGGCCCAGGCATTTTGCTGCCCCTGCAAAAAGGGGAGGCCACCAGCAGGGCTCTGAGGCTGAGGGCTGTTAGCGCCAGTTCTGGAATGCCACACCCCAGGACCTGGAGGCTTGCCTTTCTTCTTGCTTGTAGCTCCTGATCCTTGACTCGAGTTTGTGGGTTCAAGTTCTGAGGCAAGGATAGAAGGCAGGGGCTCTAGAATGAAATGCACTTGGGTTCTATTCTGGAAAAAGTACTTAACCAGCTCGGGTCTCAGGTCCTTCACCTGGAAGATGGGGACAGCCACTCAGCCCTGTGGCCGCTTGAAAGACGAAATAAGATTAGAAACAAACAAAAGAGTTCAAAGCTCTTAAGAGAAATCCAACCAAACAAAACAAACTGCCCCAAGAAAAGACCAGCTGTTGAAAGTCAAGCATGCTGGTATACACCTGGGAGGTGGAGGCAGGAAGATCAGGAGTTCAAGGCTGGCCTGGGCTAAATGATAGCGGATCTCAAACAAACACAACACAAAAACAGTTGTTGTTAACAAGATATAGACTCCAAGAGGTTGCTTTAATGGAGGTAGGCTGGTTAAGAACAAAATAAAGCATATAATTTCATGATAGGAATTGAACTACTCAGTGGGGGAGGCTGCTTCCTCTACATTAAGGACTCTGTCACCAAGTCCCAGAATGTACCCCATCCACCTGCATTAGGCAAGGTGGGGCACCAGAGGTGACTGGTAGGTCAGGAAGTTCAGAGAAGTGAACCCATTACTATTGATCAACCGTCAGGCAGCCTGCCAGGCTCTTTACCTGCATCACACTATCGGATCCCAAAGCTCCACCTCGGAAGGAGGTGGTGGTAACCAATCACACTTTTAAATAGCAACAGAGGGCTCCGATGGTTAAGTAACTTGTCAAGGTCACACGGCTCAAGAACAGCACGGCTAGGATTCGAACCCAAGTTTCTGTCAGTTTGTTGTGCTTGGAAGGAACTTGTATGATGTCCAAAAAGGGGCTCTTAGCTACTTATCACCCATCTTCTGCCTCAAAACATCCCCACCCACCTACTCACTCACTCATTGGCTGCACTGGATGAACTAACAGCAGGCCCCAGCATGTGCTACCTGGGGCATGCCAGGGCGTAGACCCTCTGGTACCCCGGAGGACAAAAGTGCTGCCAGCAAACCCCCCACCTGAGCCTGGCAGTCACTCACTCCCCTTCCCCTGCTCTCAAGAATCTGGAAGGCAGAGGGCTGTGGGACCCTCTTCAGGAGCTGCTGGGCACATTCTCATTCACCCCGGACTACTGCAGACCGGGGCGGAGGCTACAGGGTCAGGGAGCGGAGACCCAAGCCCCCCTGGGCAATGGGCCGCCAGACCTGACAAGGGGACCAAGGCTGGTGGCAGCACGAAGCCCCAAGGGCGGCCAGCCCCTCTGACCTCTCTTCCCCACTTCCCAGGCCTCCTTCATTCTTCTGGGTAACCCAACGACAAGCTTTGGGACAGTCCGCACCAGGCGGTCAAGACAGCCGGGAGGGACAAAGCGCGCCCCCTCCCCCTCAACAGGGCCTTTGCCTACTCCGGATTCGCGTCTGATTCTTCTCCCCACCGCACCCTCCAACGCAGGCCGGGGCGGCTCATGAATGAACTGCTCTGTGTGGGGCGCAAGAGAGGACATGCTCCCGGGGCCAGCCGTCCTCTTCCAGCCGGCAGACCAGTCCCCACCAGGGCCAGGGCCAGCC